TTCGAATGGAAATTCATAAGTGGAATACGAAAGGAATGAGAATGGTTCACCCCCAACCCGTGGATATGACGTGGCTCCTCTTACACTTAAGACTGCCTGGACTGGTGAGATTAAGGAATGTAGCTCGTCATCGCATTTCTCGTGGAAATAGCCATAGAGAAGCAAGAGGCTTGCGACATTGCGTCTGTCAAAGAGTTGTAGGTTGAGAAATTGAATCAATTGATATGATAGATAATCAACAACGAACCTGGTATACATTGCGTCATGGTATAACCGGTAGCCTTCTGCACGATGTTTGCGGATTGGTGTAAGATGACTCTCCAATGTGTCACAGACATCTTTTCGAAGCTTAGAATCTCGCGCTTCAGTTTGTAATGCCGTCGTGGGTATTGACGATAAACTACGCCCGCGTCGTGGGTATTGACGATAAACTACGCCCGCGTCGTGGGTATTGACGATAAACTACGCCCGCGTCGTGGGTATTGACGATAAACTACGCCCGCGTCGTGGGTATTGACGATAAACTACGCCCGCGTCGTGGGTATTGACGATAAACTACGCCCGCGTCGTGGGTATTGACGATAAACTACGCCCGCGTCGTGGGTATTGACGATAAACTACGCCCGCGTCGTGGGTATTGACGATAAACTACGCCCGCGTCGTGGGTATTGACGATAAACTACGCCCGCGTCAAAAGTTGGGTATTGACGATAAACTACGCCCGCGTCGTGGGTATTGACGATAAACTACGCCCGCGTCGTGGGTATTGACGACGATAAACTACGCCCGCGTCGTGGGTATTGACGATAAACTACGCCCGCGTCGTGGGTATTGACGATAAACTACGCCCGCGTCGTGGGTATTGACGATAAACTACGCCCGCGTCGTGGGTATTGACGATAAACTACGCCCGCGTCGTGGGTATTGACGATAAACTACGCCCGCGTCGTGGGTATTGACGATAAACTACGCCCGCGTCGTGGGTATTGACGATAAACTACGCCCGCGTCGTGGGTATTGACGATAAACTACGCCCGCGTCGTGGGTATTGACGATAAACTACGCCCGCGTCGTGGGTATTGACGATAAACTACGCCCGCGTCGTGGGTATTGACGATAAACTACGCCCGCGTCGTGGGTATTGACGATAAACTACGCCCGCGTCGTGGGTATTGACGATAAACTACGCCCGCGTCGTGGGTATTGACGATAAACTATGTGCGACAGTAAGGCCTCTGATCAGGAAGTTTTGAGGAACATGGAAACAACTCTTAATTACTAGTGCTCCCAGGTCTACCGTGAACTGGGGTGGTAGCATGTGTTAGGGTCCCAATTATGGGTAAGTAGTTAACGCCCAAATTGGAGTCAAAACACTGTGACAGTGTAAAAATAGGTTTTATTATCAGCAATACGTTTTTGAAGAAAAAAAAATATTAGCAACAATAAAAATCTTGTCGGCATTAAATAACCCATTGAGGTTTATATGCTGTAAAACAAACCAATCAATATGTAATGAAAATTGACCAAATTTCTTTTGCGGAGATTTTCGATAAATTCTTGCCGTAGTCAGCAGACCTTAACGACCTTCGCAAATTGATTCATGCATGAAAAGATCTATTTAGAGTCGATGTAAAGTTGCTGTTTTTTTTTTTTTTTTTTTTTTTTTTTTTTTTTTTTTTTTTTGTTTGTTTGAATCTCCTGATCCAATAATTTTGCTGATTTTAAATGGCTAAAATTGGCCGACATTGGATATCTTCAAAAACTATTCTCGCAGAAAGAAATGACAAGGTCGATCAATAAAGCCATGAAATTATGAATTGACTTCCTAGAGATGAGATTATTTTAAGAAGTATCGACTCTGAGAGAATCAAGTAATTCTATATCTCAAAGAATTTATAAATTGACTAGATGTCATCAAAGTCAAGATAAGGGCGCCAGCAATGTTTCACTAAAACTTCGACTACGAACATTGATCCTCTGTACACAGTCCTCAACGCCAATTAAACTTTACTGACCGTCAAAAACTTATCAACGTTAATGACGAGTGCTAATGATTCCTCTCTTCAATCATCAAACATTGATTTACCGTTCACTTTAAAGAGATTAGATGCGGATTTTATCTTCCCATTCCAGTGTTCACGCACCAACAATTGTTGTAATCAGAAGAATGGACGATCCAATAAACTTGTGGATATTTGCAGATCATAGATTCCAATTAGTCACTCAGCCAGAACACATCATAATGATGAAAACGGAATCTTGGCTAAGAACGATGTTTATAGAGAACTTATTTAAGTCAATGAGTTATTTACTTGTAATTCTTTCAAAGAATATTTGTATTTAGGATTGGGGAATTGTCACGTTAAAAAATGTAATAATTTAACTATTACTTTAAATTTATTACAACATTCATTACATTTTTTTTTTTATCGGACCTTTCTCCAAATTTTCCTTTGATTTTTGTATTTAAATTGAAAACATTTTCTAATAAACGTATTTTAAGTGGGGAAGGAATTTAGATTTGAAATGTGTTTATCTTGCTGTTGGCAAAGTGTTAGGTAACGGAGAACATTAAGTTTACCCCTTTTTTTTTCTTTTTTATTTACTATTATCCATTAGTAGCATTAGTATTATTATTATTAGTAGTAGTAGTAGTACTATGGTTAGTAGTATCTACTATTATCATCTATTAGTACTATTATTATAGTTACCTCCGAGATAGCTAAAAAAAAAAAAGAGCATAGCATGATGAAAAGGACGCCAAACTTGACGAAAACAAAATCTTATCGTCTAAATGTTTGATTAAGAGGAATGATCAAAGTATTTTTTTTTTTTTTTTTTTTTTTTTTGAGTCAGCAAAATTGACCATTTTTTTCCATTTTTATAAAAAAAATGGAACTCTCACTTTGAAATTCTTTTAAATATCAATTATCATTTTTTTCAAAACTGATTTTAAGAAAATCAGAAATTATGTTTATTTAAAATATTTTGAACCAAGCTTAACTTAGCTTCTGCGCCGAAAGGATGTAATTTGAAAATAAAACAAAGGTCATAAACTTTCGCGTCACTTGACAGGTGATGAATGACATATTGACGGATTTGTTCTACGGAAGGAGAAAAGTGAAATAATTTACATTTAAGTGAACAAATTATTTACCTAGTTATTTTTAAGGAAAACTTTCAGCGATATATATAATTTTTTTTTTTTTTTTTTTTTACTTGGGTTTCACCTTTATGATTACGATGCTTTATGGAAAATATATTATAAAGAAATTAAAATTAGACTGTTAAAAGTGAGATTAAATTTCATAAGGTATCTAATTAATTTATACGTACCTTTCTTATGAAATTTTATCAGAAGTGTACATAAAATACTATAATTTTCTGTACATTTATTATATTTCACTGTTATTTGTATTTCCATTCATTTTATTATTAATTTTGATATTTCATTTATGGAAAAATGTCGTAACTGAGATTAATATAAAAATAAGATCATATAAATTTCATAAGATGATACTGATACTTGTAGGTACCCTTCTCAGTTGAAATTGAAAAATCAAATTAACTTCTCCACATGTGTTTCGCAAAAGTAAAGGCCTTAACAGCGGAGAACAATGCTTAACTCAAATAACGCAACTCAATTGTATTCTGGTTGGTCTTCGGTACTTTATAATTACAGCCCGATTATAAACACAAAATTACATTTCTTAATTACTACGGGTCTTCTGATGAGTCAAAATGATACAATTTACAACGCGCTAAAAAAAAAGATCTATCTCATAAGGACACTTATGAAAGCCGATGCGGCTTTTAACTAATTTTATAATATTTTAACAACTTAAATGTAAAAATCTATTATAATTAAAGAAATAACAAATTTCATCGAAAAATTTTTTTTGCTTTCAGAAAATATTGTCCATATTCATAAAAACAACTAAAAGCAAATAAAAGCATTTGAAATTAAAAAAAAAAAAAAAACATGATTTGCATTCCTCGAAGCCTTGTGCTTTTAACTATTGTAATCACTAAACCCGATGCGATCGAATTTCTAGCGTTTTCATAAAATTAGTTGGGGGGGGGGTAATAAATATAAAAAAATATTTCTGCCATGACCAATAAAAAATATATATATAATTCGATCATCTGTGAATAGTTTCTAAAAGTTTCATTAACATCCGACAATATTTTTTATTTTTGCAAGATTTTCCAAATTAATGTGTGTCATACCAAAAAAACGTTGCTAAAAATTATTTTACTAGTTCCGGTGATACAAAGAGAAACAAGGTTTTTTGGGATTTTTTTTTTTTTTTTTTTTAATCAAAATTTAGAATGTTCTAAAAAGAAGGAAAAAAAATAATTAAAATAAACTTTGATCTTTCCTCTTAATAATAACATAAGCATTTAGACGATAAAATTTTGTTTTCGTCAAGTTTGGCGTCTTTTTCATCATGCTATGCTCTTTTTTAGCGATCTCATGGAGGTACCTATATCAACAAATATATGTATTAAACAACAGAATTTTACAATGGACATAGACATTAACCTTTGTGTGTGTCTGTGTGTGAACATTTGTGTCTGTTCTTTGGTGAATGTTCGTACGTACGTGTATGTGTGTATAATGTTCATGGCGTCTTCCTGCAAGTGGGAAACGCTGTTGTGCTGAATGTGCAAAAGATCCTCATTATCAAAAGAAAAACCTTTTGTTCATCGCATTTTGTTACTGATGGTAATGGCCAAGTTTCACATCTAGAAATTCTTTAACTAAGCGATTGAAGAGGGAAAATGTTTAATATTCTGCCCCAGTCCCTTCCTCTTATAGATATTTTGTGGTTGTCAAAAGAAATAAGAAAAATAAGATATAGGTGGATATTTTTTCTCGCTATTAAAGACCGGAGATTTTTCTTTAAATCTGATATCTTTTTAACGTTTTTAAACATTGTTCGTTTTTTCTTCGACAGTTGTTGTTGGTCTTTCGAAGTCAGAAAATTCCAGGTTTAATGGACATTCAGGTTTTCCAGATATCCTGGCAACTAAAGACCGTCGAAGTTAAGTTCCAGACTTTTTTTGACAAAAGATTAGCGCCGCGAAACAAAGAGATCGAAACACTTTACAAAGATGGACTTAAGTCGCCGAAGATTGTTCATAAGACAACCAACGGATTATATGTATTTGTCGATTCCCGTTTGGCCATCAGAATGAACGCCACTCAAAGCAGCCAAATCACAGGTAAGCAATTTGAACCACTTTTAAGTCTCTCTCACCCCATATTTGTTTCATTGCTTTCTTTTTCCCCCACCCCCATATTTGTTTCATTGCTCTTTTTCCCCACCCCATATTTGTTTCATTGCTTTTTTTTCCCCACCCCCATATTTGTTTCATTGCTTTTTTTTGTTTCATTGCTTTCCCACCCCCCATATTTGTTTCATTGCTTTTTTCCCCCACCCCCATATTTGTTTCATTGCCCCCACCCCATATTTGTTTCATTGCTTTTTTTTTCCCCACCCCATATTTGTTTCATTGCTTTCTTTTTCCCCACCCCATATTTGTTTCATTGCTTTCTTTTTCCCCCCCCCCATTTGTTTGTTTCATTTTTCTTTTTTTTTTTTTCCCCCCCCCCCCATATTTGTTTCATTGCTTTCTTTTTCCCCACCCCATATTTGTTTTTGCTTTTTTTTTCCCCATTTTGTTTCATTTTTCTTTTCCCCCACCCCCATATTTGTTTCATTGCTTTCTTTTCCCCCCCACCCCATATTTGTTTCATTGCTTTCTTTTTCCCCCACCCCCATATTTGTTTCATTGCTTTTTTTTAAGTGTGGATCGTCTTCAATACATCGTAATTGTCTGCCATTTTCCGATTTAACTTTTTCTTCTTTAGCACTAATGTTCAACCAATACAAGCCACAAGAGTCACTCAGAGTAGAGGGTTACTGTGCGATGTTGTATTAGCGTAAGTAAAAGTAAGAATTAGTTACTGGGGCTATGCAAGAATGATAAGTTACCTCTAGACTTGAAGATGTCCAGATTTAATAAGGTGATTGATCTGTCCAAGTTCAGTCGGAGACAGTAAAAGTATAGTGTGCAAGAAGACTTTAGAAGGAAACGGAAACCTAATCATAAACAGGAAACAACGGACAAACTTCTAATTCCTGTTAAAAAAAAAAAAAAGGGGGAGAGGAGTACAAACCTATCTACTCCTATTAATTTCTATGAAAAGCAATTTATAAATTTTATAGTAGTAATACTAATTAGAGAATTTTATTGGTATTCAAAATCACGCACGTAAAACTTTTCTTACCATAATTACTAACCGAGCCATACATCATGGTACTGGAAACTTGGAATGAAGACATTTCAAATCAAACAAATGATGTATTTATACCCAAAGTATAAATAGATACAACAAGGAATATTTATTAGTTTCTTTTGTAAGCAGTTTTCAGTAAAGGTTTCAGCTAAAAGTGTTTAAAATGTTACGAAAATAAAAAAAACAAAACGATGAAGTCTTTAAATTCATGGAGAAATTGTTCAATAAATGTAAAATAATTGACATGTGTTTAATAAAACTTACATAAGGAAATATGAAACTATATATTGAATTTTCCTAAAATCCAATATAAATTTTTATAATTTTTTTTTTGTTCGTGAGATTACGAGCTGATAAACTAAATGATTATTCTTGACATTTAACAGCAGGACATAAAGCGGAGTAATTTTTTTTCCTATCCATTAAAAAAAAAAAAACAAATGTAAATGAAATTATAACATTGCTTTGATAGGCCACTGTAGTGTAGCTTAATGATAAGATCGCTGCTGTGTAGTAAAGTTGATCCTCACTGGGTGATCCAAATTCATGGTTTTACACCAAACTCCTCTTTCGGGACAATTTTCTAGAAGCATAGGTTCGGTTCTTGCTTGTGTTCCACGATCAGATTGCTAAAACATTACGTTGGTTTAATTCCAGAATACAATCCATGTGCTGATTCCACGTCCAATTACTGCGGTCCAAATGCCAAATGTAAACATACAATGAAATCTTTCACTTGTGCATGTAGACCAGGCTATGAGGACACTTCACCGGACATTTCCCGCGCCCCTGGCGAAGTTTGCTCAGGTAATATAATCTTTCTTTTATTGCTCTCCTTGGCAAGGAGGTTAAATCTTTATTGGCTAAATTTAAATTTTATTCAAATTTATCAGGATTTAGATTGCAACATTATACACTAATCTCACCAAATATAAATGTAAAATCTTGTTGGAATTCGTGACTCTCCGCCATAACGTCCATAATTTAAAAGCGCAGAAACTTTTCAAAAAATAAGTGACATCTTTCCCTGTCGAGTGGAAACTTAATTCCTGGTGTTTGGATCAAGTTTTAACAATTTGAATTTTCGAAATGTTTTGTTTCAACAATCAATCTTACATATCCTTTTATTTTGGTTCCAAATCAAGTTACATTTCTTAAACTTCCTCAAAAGAAGAGGCTAATGTTGCCAAAAGCTTAAAATAAAAATGTTCACGATATAAGGAATAATATTTGGGGTGTTTCTTTTTCTTTCCTTTTTTTTTTTTTTCAGTTATCACCAAACCAAATCTTTTATAATCGGTGGGAAGCGATATTCCTGCCCTCACACCAGGGTTAAGATACGTAGTTTTTTTTATGCTTCCATACTATAAAAAGATGATTGGATTTTTTTTTTCGCCCATTTAAAAGAAACGCATTTTTCTTTAAAATTATGGACGTTTAAAAAGAAAATTTTCGCTTTAAATTTTCGTTTAAAAAAACTTTTCGTTTAAAAAAAACGCATTTTCGCAACATTTAAAAAAAAAACGCATTTTCGCCCATTTAAAAAACGCATTTTCGCATTTAAAAAAGAAACGCATTTTCGCCCATTTAAAAAAAACGCATTTTCGCCCATTTAAAAGAAACGCATTTTTAAAAAGAAACGCATTTTCGCCCATTTAAAAAGAAACGCATTTTCGCCAAAAAAAACGCATTTTCGCCCATTTTTTCGCCCATTTAAAAATTTTCGAAAAAAAACGCATTTAAAAAGAAACGCATTTTCGCACATTTTTAAAAAGAAACGCATTTTCGCCCATTTAAAAGAAACGCATTTTTTAAAAAAGAAACGCATTTTCGCACATTTAAAAAAACGCATTTTCGCATTTAAAAGAAACGCATTTTCGCCCATTTAAAAAGAAACGCATTTTCGCCCATTTAAAAAGAAACGCATTTTCGCCCATTTAAAAAGAAACGCATTTTCGCCCATTTAAAAAGAAAATTTTCGCCCATTTTCGCATTTTCGCCCATTTAAAAGAAACGCATTTTCGAAACGCATTTTCGCCCAAAAAAACGCATTTTTTTCGCCCATTTAAAAAAAAACGCATTTTCGCCCAAAAAGAAACATTTTTTCATTTAAAAAGAAACGCATTTTTAAAAAAACATTTTCGCCCATTTAAAAGAAACATTTAAAAAGAAACGCATTTTCGCACATTTAAAAAGAAACGCATTTTCGCACATTTAAAAAGAAACGCATTTTCGCACATTTAAAAAGAAACGCATTTTCGCCCATTTAAAAAGAAACGCATTTTCGCCCATTTAAAAAGAAACGCATTTTCGCCCATTTAAAAAGAAACGCATTTTCGCCCATTTAAAAAGAAACGCATTTTCGCCCATTTAAAAAAAAAACGCATTTTCGCATTTAAAAAGCATTTTTCGCCCATTTAAAAGAAACATTTTCGCCCATTTAAAAGCAAATTTAAAAAGAAACATTTTCGCACATTTAAAAAGAAACGCATTTTCGCCATTTAAAAAGAAACGCATTTTCGCGCATTTTCGCCCATTTAAAAAAAACGCATTTTCGCCCATTTAAAAGAAACGCATTTTCGCCCATTTAAAATTGACGCATTTTCGCCCATTTAAACTCTCCCATTTAAAAAGAAACGCATTTTCGCCAAATTCAAAAAACCATTTTGTTTTTTAAAAGAAACGTTTTTCGTTTTTAAATTTTCAGTGATAAAATATTTCCACCTTTATTTTTTTGTTTTTTTGTTTTTTTTTTTAAATTTTCAGTGCAAAATATGTTTATTTTATTTTTATTTTTTTTTATTGCAATGTTTGTCTACATTGTCTTGAAGTAGGAGATACGCTTCTCAAAATTTAAACTATCAGATTTTGATGGCGAATCACTTTTTGGTCTGACGAAACTTTTCAGTACTTCATTGTAGAATTTATAGTTAAGTAAACGAAATAAGAGATTATGAAGGTTCTGCTTGGATGTAAATTCATCTCAGAATTAGGATGCATTTATATTCGTTTTTCGGGTAACTTGCTTTTTAAGCCCTGCGCTAAATATGTTATAAAATTTTGCCGAATAACTATTCGGCAAAATTTAGGTGTAAATTTACATGCTTAAATCGAAAATAACAAAGAAATTTAGCTAAAATCTACCGTTTAGGAATTATCGACAATAAAATTTCGGACTTATTCGCGTTACGGCACGGCAGCCATTACTGTCGTTGTTTGCATACATTCGCTGCTGATTAGATTTGCGCGGAAGATTACTTTGTTTACTGCGCAACTGAGGATTCATTGCGTGCGTGATAATGAAGACTGTTCGCAGCAAATATATGCAAACAACGACAGTAATGGCTGCCGCGACGCGAATGAAACCGAACTTCTCTTGTCGTTAACTCCAAAACAGTAGATTTTATCAAAATTTCTTTATTTTCGAATTAAGCATATACATTTAATTTTTCTTACATATTTAGCGCGGTGCTTAAAAAGCAAATTACCCCGTTTTTCTCCAACAAAAAATCCGGAAGATTTTTTTTTTCTTTATAAATCAACTACTAATATATACATTTTCTTATTTCCCAACGAACAGCATATCGCTTAGGACACAACATCTTTTAGCCGATTTCAACAAAACTTCACAGGACTACATAAAATTACCTTTTGGTGGTTCTAACGGCGCCGAAAATGGGAAAAACACAGTTGTTTTTTAAGAAAATCAATTTTAAGACACAGCGTGAGAATGAAAGGGGGACAACTCACCCACGAAAATGTAAACAAAAGAGCATAGCATGATGAAAAAGACGCCGAACTTGACGAAAACAAAATTTTATCGTCTAAAGACGAAAGAGGAAAGATCAAAGTATTTTTGGAGTATTTTTTTTTTTTTACATTTTTTTAATCGTTCCTAGCACGTCTGAAATTTTCGTTAAAAATATATTTTTTTTTTTGTCAAAAAAAAAAAGGACAGATAATCATTTTTAATCATTTTTTTCGATTTGATAAAAAAAATTAAAATCTTACTTTGATATTCTTTTAAAAATCAATTATCATTTTTTTCGAAACTGATTTTAATAAAAACAGATATTATACTGTTTATTTAAAATATTTTGAACCAAATGATTTTAAGTAGTCAAAATCGGTTAGTTGAGATTTTTTTTTTTTTTTTTTGTTGAAAAGATGTAAAACACGTGAAAAAATATTTTCCCCGCTTTAAAAACAGGATTAACTTGTTGTTCATCCTAGAAGAGGGACAATACAAAGAACAATAATAATATTCCGAACGAAATCTAGTAAGAAACAAATTACTTTTAAATGTATTTCTTGTTTTTTTTTATTTAAATGAGGAATTTATTTGATCTGTGTAAAAATCATGAAATACTGAAAAGAATTTGCTCTCGTTTTCTCAGAATGTGTTACGATGTGAAAATTTTTTTTATCTTTTTTTCTTTTCTTTCAGTTTGGTGCGGATGTCAGAATAATGGAACTTGCCAACGTTCAAATGGCGAAATCACTTGC